TCTGACTCTGTCTCCGTAAAAATAATTTGGGATGACTTTATTTTCACTAACTGTGATTATATGATTTATGACTTTAATTTCATGTGGTTTCAAACTTGTCAGTTAGATTCATTGTGATTACAAAATTGGATCATTTAACACTATGATTTCAAAGTATCACATATACCCATTGTGTTTATAAAATATTTTACTTAAACCTCTTGTGTACGTATATACACCAAAAAAAAAAAAAACTTTATTATGATCGTATAATATTATCATATTATAAATTAAAACTATAGTAGAATTAAGTATTAAAGATTAAAATAAAAATTATGTTTATAAATTATTTTAAAAATTAACTTTAAAAATAAATTATGTATCCAAAATTAAAAATTATTAGTTATATATTATATTAAAAATCAAAAATATTATTTAACATATAAAAATTTATCTTAAAAACTTATTTAAGCTAAATTAGATTTTTTTTAAATATATATTCATATATATGAATAATATCTTTAAACTTAAATTTAGATTACTTTTAAATTTATTTTTAATTAATAATAATATCAGGTTAGAGCCTTGTAAATTTACACATGTAAATTTTTTTTTATTCAATATATAATAGTATACATTTAAATTAAAATAAAATTAAAGATTAAAATAAAAGTAAAAAACCTAAAGTTATTTAATTGAAAATATGGTAAAGTTAAAAATTTATTTAAAAATTATCTTAAAAATAAAAAATATTATTTAAAAGATTCAAACGTGTATCATCTAATACATTCAATTCAAATAAATTAAGATAAATTTTTCAAAAATATATTTATTTTTTCATTAAAACAAATTTAAATAAAATATTATTTTATTTTGTTTATTTTTTGTCTAATATTGCTATAATATTATAAAAAATTTAACATAAAAATTTATCTAGATAATACAGCTTTAATTTGATTTTAGTAATATTTTTAATTTTAAATAAATTAAAAATAAATACAATTTCAAAATAAATAAAAATTTCAAAATAAATAACTTTAAATAATTTTTAATTTAATCTTGGAAAAAATTTATTTTCACCCATTGCAGTTTGATGGTATATCAATTTAACTCGTTGTAGTTCTAAACTTTTGCTCACACCCATCGTGTTAAAATAAATTTATCATTTAATTTTATGTGGTTTTAAATTTTTATTTACACTCATTGTAATTTTAAAAGTATATCACTTACCCCTTTGTGATCTTATAAGTAGAAAATTCTTTATTTTTTCTAATTTTTATTTTATATAATTATGATATTATCGAATAAACTTTTAATACAATTAAATGTTAAAGGTTAAATTAAAAAATATTTAAAGATATTTATTTTGAAATTATTTTAAAATCGCCTTTATTATAACAATACCCTGGACTCATCTCAACTCGCTGATCAGTCATTCTTCTATGAGCCTCTTGACGGAATTCTGCTATTATATATGGCTAATATTGCATCCGTAGGGAATGAGCGTTTAGTTGATCTGAATTGTTAGTTTTTTTTCTTTGTTTTGCTTTGTTTTTTGGGCCTAGGGCCTTCTCATTTACCAAAAAAAAATGTTAAAGGTTAAATTAAAAAAATATGTAAAATTTCATATTGAAATTATTTTATAATTATATTAATTCAAAAATATATTTCAAATTTAAAATATTATTTAATATAATTTAAAGACGCATTATCTAAATAAATTATTTATGTTAAATATTTTGCAATATTATAATGATATTAGGTAAAATAAATAAATTTCTTTGTATTAAACGTATTAGGTTATAGGCATTTGATTCTCATAAAAATAATATATTTTTATGTTTAATATAATTCTTAAATAAATTATTAATTTTACCATTATTTACAAATAAATAATATTAAGTTTTTTTTGTTTCATTTTTAATAATTAATTTTATTATAATTTAAATTTTTACTATTTTACTAATATAAAATAAAACTTTTTACATGTATAAATTAATAAGGACCTAAATAATTTTATTATTATTTATAGTAATTATTCATATTGATGAATATATATATATATATATATGTGTATATTCAAAAAAAAAATTAACTTAAGAAAATGTTTAAGATACTTTTTTGTCTTAAATAATATTTTTTATTTTTTATATTATATAAAATAAATAATTTATATTTTTTAATACATAATTTATTTTTAAGACATTTTTTAAAATAATTTATCAACATATTATTTTTATTCAATTTTTAATAATTAATCTTATTGGAATTTTAATTTATAATATGATAATATTATAGGATAAAAATTAAGAAAAATAAATTTTTTTGTGTATATATAAAACCACAAGAGGTTTAAAAGAAACATTTTTATAACCACAATGGGTATATATAAAGGGATAGGTTATTCTACCTACTATTTTTTTGCCTACCTTTGCCTACCACTCTAAAACATCATTAGATCAGAATCTTAACTAACATTTATCTTTCTCTTTCTTCTTGAGATTCTGATCTAACGGTATTGGAGGGTGGTAGGCAAAGATAGGCAGAAAAATGGTATGTAAAATAACCTATCCCAAATTAATAATAGTGAATCATAATATAATTATTTGGGAAAACTTAATTTTCACTCCTTGTGCTTTCATGATGTATCACTTAGCCCCTTGTGGTTTCAAAGTTATCAATCATATCCATTGTGACTAAATATATTTATGATTTAATCCCTCGTGATTTCAAATTTTCACATAAACTCATTTTTATTACAAAAATATATAACTTAGATACTTGTGTTCTTATAAATATAAAATTCTTTATTTTATATTATTATGATATATCAAACAAACTTTTAATAAAATTAATTATTAAAGATTAAAGGGATAAATTGTATTATTGAATCTCGTGATTTCAAAGTATTATATATTTATATATGGGATAAGTTATTCTACCTATCATTTTTTTTTGTCAACCTTTGCCTACCACCCTCCAACACCGGTAGATCATAATCTCAAGAAGAGAGAGAAAGATAAATGATAGTTAAGATTTTGATCTAACGATGTTTTAGAGTGGTAGACAAAGATAGGCAGAAAAAATAATAGGTAGAATAACCTATCCCTATTAATTTAATGTCTATTAATTTTAGTTTTATATCTTTTTCATATCATGATCCTTTTTTATATTAACGAGTATATTCAAATCCAGGCAAGCTTAATTGGGCGAACATATTCCCATCACTCGTCACATATTTAGTCTTCCCCTTGAATCATATGATTTTAATATAGGAATAGGTTATTCTACCTACAATTTTTTCTGCTTACTTTTGCCTACTACTCTCTAATACCGTTAGATTAGAATTTAAAGAGGAGAGAGAAAGATAAATGTTAATTAAAATTCTGATCTAATGATCTTTTAGAGTGATAGACAAAGGTAGGCAGAAAAAATGTAAGTAGAATAAGTTATTCCTTTAATATATTGCAAAGCAAACCTCTGTGAAAGTTTATCTAATTAAAAGGACAATATATAATTATAAAAACGAATTTATAGTCAACATTAACAACTTCGTTTGGGCCAGATCCAAGGCTATTTGGCTTTAATTGTATATGTTCTTACAAAATGGGGCTTGTCATTTTTTTTTTTATTTTTTTTTTTTATAACAAGCTTGTCATTTTTTGTCATTAGAACACATAACATGAATATAATATATCTTCCATATTTAAAATACCACAAACCATTATCTCAACACAAGTAATTCAAAACTAGATGTAGAATCGGGTAACGCGCGAGCTACCGCTATCAAATAAATTTAAATTTTATTCCATTTAATTATAAATGATGTTTGAATTTTTATACAATAATCGGTGCACAATGCATTTCATGATAAGATTTTATGTGGCAGTTTGGAGGTTTAAAAGATAATAATGTTTATATTTTTGTTGATGTGGCTTAAAATTAGGATATGAGAAAGAGTTATCATGACAATGCCACAACCAACATTTTTCTTTTTTGTGCATATACACATTGCATGTATTGTTTTGGCTGAAAACAAAGTATGTATGATTGATGATGTGACTATGCTTGGTTATTTTTACTTATCTAAATCTTACTAATTATTTTTTCTCTTAAGTATAGATGCGGTCATGTTGACAATTGTGACGGATTTCGATTGTGTATACCGCAATTCTCTAAAGGAGACCAATATGGACGTGGATCTTGGATTCCTTAGGTTAGATTTCCTTGTCTCCTTTGATTAAGTGCATTTTTTCCACATTTTCAAGACGCTCTCTATATTGTGTTGACGAAATTGGTGTTAATCTGCCCCACCACCGACCAGAATTTGGCTCTGATTTCTAAGCCTTTGATAATGACGTATAGGACTTTTTATTTTTAAAGGAAAATAAAAAAAAAGCCTTTAATATGACTTGCCACTTTTTTAGTATATAAAATGTCTAAGTAAAAAGGCTAGTTAGATTTCTCTTATGGACCACTTAGCGGGTTTCTATTTTGTATTTCCATAGATGAAATATCTCATTGTATCACTCTTCCCTTACTTCCATCGATTACTAATAATTACCCGCTAAGCATTGCATCATACCATTAAGTCACCTGCAAACTACTCACTAGGGGCACAACTAACAAAGAGGGATCTGATCGGATAACTTATCTTAGTATTTACTAGACTTGCCACTATGGCTACAACCTACACACTTGTGCGCAGAGCACATCCTATCCACTAAGCAGGTGACTCACACATACACCCATTGTTCATACCATCAGACTTTAGCTTAAGGTGCAGGACTCTTTGCCTGTCATTTTTACCATAAGTTCCGTAGATACAAATAGTAGCTATCTTACTAGCTATTAATGTTAACTGAACAACTTCAATGGCATAGTAAAATGACAAAAACATTGCCACGATTACATTACAAAAAACATATACATACTCATGAAGGCTTTTTGGAGGGTACACATAGAATAAAGGCACGTCTAAAATAGAAGATTAAGATTATTATCTTCAACAAAAGGGGACACCAAACAAACCAGGATTAACTAAAATCTGTGATAAATATCTCTGAGGAAATTGAGGTACCTGATGTTAAAATAAATTTAACTCTCATCATCTGATGTCTTGCTATTTTAACCATCAAGAGGTGTTTAGAAGAATGCCCGACTACCATAAAACACACGTGATCCATCCTTTTTCTTCTTATCAATTTCTAACTTGCTGTTGTCATGATTTTGAATCACATCACCATGATTTTCTCTATCAGGTTTGTTAAGGTCCATTGGTAGCTTCATTTTTGCTAAGGACTCAGTAAACTGCTGCATGCTCCTCATGTACATGTCCACTATTTGTTGTTGCATAGCAGATTGCTCAGCCTCCATATTGATGTTCCCTAGTGGAGCTGAAAAAACTTGACCAAATTTTACAGCTTCTATATTCTTATCATTTTTCCTTTTCTTTTCATTGGTTGAGAAGTTTGCCTCTTTGTCATCTCTGACTTCATCTTCTTTCTTGGAAGTTGGGGTATCCGGACAAGCACCACAGTTTTGACTACCTTCAACAGTGACTGACACAGCAGTAACACAATGTGATAACTCACCCCCCAAAGGATTATTTTTCTCAACTGAATCTGCTGAGTTTCTATCATCACTTAAGCTTGTAATAGTAGAGCTTACGATCCCAGAATTCTGAATGCTCTCATTTGGAGAAATGGATCCAACATGATTCTCATCTGGTGAAATCATAGTCATCTCATAATCATCAAGTTGAGGAGATGCACTAAGGTGAAGAAATGGTATTAGCCCTCCTGAGTTAGACTTTGAAGCAGAAGTAGAACCATGAGAAGCCAAATTGAAGTATTCAGTAACCATTCGCTGGTTTTCCTTTACCACACTGATATCAGGAAATTCAATTCTAGAATACTCAACTGGGTCCAACATAACTTCTGAGATTTTTCTATCAAGCAAAATAACTTCTGATGATATGGATGAACTGTTTGCTGATTCGGATATCAAGTTCATTGTGGAATTGATATCCAAAGATGTGTCTAAAGACAGTGTTAATTGGACAGTTCCAGCAGGAGAATGGAAAAGATCAGTGGAGGAAAGGCTGTAATCTTCAGTCACCTTTCCTTTGCCAAAAACTTGTGAAATTGGGACCAAAGCAAATCCCAAAAGCTGGTCTTCCATGTGATTTCTAGCCCTACTAAACATCCAAATCTCACATTTCAGAACACCATCCATTTGGGTAATCCTCATCCTCAAGTTTTCATTGAATGTTGGGTTTTTGCCACCACCATTGATAATTCTGGTAGAGAGAGTCACATCAGGGTCGTAAGTAAGAGAGAATTTAGCATACACATCCTGATTATCATAGATGCATATGTTATGAATATTCCTAGCATGATGAACAAAGATATCAAGAATCCCCGAGAACTCAGCTTCATCATCTGCATGTGTCGTCGTGTTTAAATTTGGATTGTACCTGAAGCTGGTATTCTGATGACTCTGATTGAATGAATCCATTCTAACACGTGTTACTCCTTGAAATTTTTTTATGCAACCAGCTAGAAAAGAGAAACAGAGTTACTATAGATATTTTGTTCATCAATGATCACGCATTGAGGGTATGTATCAAAAACACAAAACATAAAATATGTAAAGGATTAAACAGAACATAAAATGTTCTTCTTTTTTTTCACCTAGTAGAATAAATGGCAACAAAGGGTTGTTGGATAACCTTGTTCTCTATGAATACTGGACTACGTAGTAGGTAGAAGACTTTTGTCAGATCAATCCATGAATTGAGGTACAAGCATGGAGAGAAAGAGAGAGAGAGAGAGAGAGAGAGAGAGAGAGAGAGGGATAGGGAGAAACTTGAGGTTCAATAAAGTGACTTGCTTTATGGAAATAGAGAGGGGGGAGTTTAAGAGCTTGTGGTAGTGGGTGTAAAATGAAGCATGAAAATGAACAGAGAAGAGGATGATGTATATGTTTGTTTGGATGCCACTTTTCTTTCTTTTGGTGTTGGGTGGGGGATAGGGGGTTTTGCTTTACTTGACAATGCAGCATCCATTTCTAGTGCATAACTTACTCCACTGACAATATAGGTATTGGAGGACCCACTTGCCACCATCTTCATTATCACTCACCCCATTCTTCAACTTCAATAGATGCTCCCCTAAACTTTTAAGACAACATGAATTGGCCTCTCTCTTAAGGGCTTATGGCCAAATTGTTTAAGCAGAGGTAATGGAGTAACTTAAAGAGGAATAGTGAATAATGATATCTTTTATATCTTTTGCTTTTTTTGGAATAAAATAAATTACTCCCCCATGAGTATATCTATCTATTCAGGTCAAAACATGGAAATATTGCATTTCCAAGATAACAAAGTCCAGGTTTTATATTTTTAAACTTTCTAAAAAAATTTAAATATATTATTCAACAAAATACTCTCATATAAAACCACTAATAAAAGTGGTTTCCCCATACTTTTTTTTTTTTTGCTTGATCGCTTTTATTTTTTATTTTTTTTGATAACAAGATCGCTTTTATTTTAACTGTTTCCGACATATGTTTCAAACAATTAACCAGTGAAACCAGTATCGTTGAATATTTTAATCACCTCTAACCTAACTTATAAGTATATATTATCAAATCATTTTAAATTTTGGGTAGTTAAAAAAGAATAAAACAAAATATTTTATCCTTTTTTCTCTTATTTATAAGTTTTCGAGTCCAAAACGTCGGCATTTTGAGATGAAAATCAAAGTATTTTTGTAATTTTAATTCATTTCAGGATTATAATAGTTTTTATTATTATAATTTTTTAATCTTTCAACTCTTAAACAATATCATTTTGAGAGTGAAAGAATATAAATTATCCCCCACACCGTAAAAATATTAGAGCCTAAGTTTAAATATGCGAATGGCTACCTAAGTTTAAATATGTGAATGGCTAGCAAATGGAAATAGTACGTACGGCTTGTAAGAATTGAACAATTTTACTTAAGAAACTTAAATTCGATTCTTGCTACTAGTAATTATCCTTAAAAGTTTATGACATACTAAACTTTTTGTAAGAAAAGAAAAAGTGAATGACTTGTCGGGAATTCATTCCACTCGGCTAATTAATTTGAATGAATAATTGAAAAGTTTATGTGTGAGTCTTATATTCAAGTCCGCAACCAGTGGCATGCAATGAGGGTAACATCAGAAATCATAACCTTTGACTGCTAATCTGCCTGTTTATTTCCCCGTCCACGGAGCCTTCGGTGATTGCCATTCCACAACATGAATACAAGAGTTTAAGTTGAAAAAAGGGACAACAACCAGAGAGTCACTTCTTTACGAAATAAAAAATATCATTTTATCATCTAAAATCTCATAATTAGATTTAGGGGGTATATTTTATGGGCTTTATTAATCTTATGTTGTAGGAGAGAAGTTCTCTCCTACCATAGAGACAATCATGGGTGGGGTCCACTCATTTATAAAAAATAAAAAAATGAAAATTAAACTACACGGAAATTAATGAGTGTGTAGGAAAGAGTGTTATCTTATGTTGCATAAGAATAATATTTCTCATATTTTATTACATGACAAAAAGCCGTTAATTTAGTGATACCAATCTCAAATATTATAAATATTTTGTCATATGAGAAAAAAGACATGAATCGAACTAACTTTTGAATTATGTTATTTTCTCACATGGCAAAAAATATTTTATATTATTCTTTGACGTGGTCTAAGAATAAATTCAACCGTGATATTTCAGAAAATAATTTAAGGATAGTGATATATTGATATTTTTTTTTCTCAAATTGTTTCGATTTAATCGTTGTCCCTCAAAAAGATACCAAGAAAAGAAAAAGGATGAGAACGACAAGGAAAAGTGGGAAAAAAAAAAACTTCACATCAATGTCAAATTGCTCACAGCCATGCATGCATAGAAAGATAAGACTTGACAGACTTCCCCGTAGTGATTTCCTTCCATTATTTCGTAGTGGAGCACAACTGTTTACGTTTTATTCCTTGCTATGTTGTGACTTGTGAGTTATTAACTCCACATATCCTCCCTTTTTGACTTTTAGTCCTCAGTGCCCAGCAAAAATTGCAATCACCTTCTTTTGCGAAAATTTTGCAATTTTTTTATTCTCATTCTTTATCATATGGTTCATTATTAGAGGCTACCCAAATGTTAATGATTTCGGGAATAAGTTATTTTATCTACCATTTTTTTTATCTATTTTTGCCTACCATCCTCCAACACCGTTAGATCAGAATCTCAAGAAGAGGGAAAAAAATAAATGTTAGTTAAGATTCTGATCTAATGATGTTTTAGAGTGATAGTCAAAAGTAAGCAGAAAAAATGGTAGATAAAATAACCTTTCCAGAATTTCGTGTTTATATATCTTATTCTACCATCTAAAACAATGGATATATTATTCTACCTACCATTTTTTCTGCTTACTTTTGTCTACCACTCTTCAATACCGTTAGATCAGAATCTAAAGAGGAGAGAGAAAAATAAATATTAATTAAAATTTTAATCTAATGGTCTTTTAAAGTGGTAGGCAAAGGTATGCAAAAAAAAATAGTAAGTAGAATAACCTATCCCCTAAAACAATACATGTTAATACCTTTAAAATTACTAAGAAAAATGTTACATGCACATTTCAATGAACCACTTCGCCTCATATTTAAGAAATATGAACAAATTACAATATAAATGTATAGAAAATTTGGTGAAATTAGTTTTAACTGAACGGCGGAAAAACTATGTAAATTTAAGCAAACATATATAAAAAAAGTGCTTACGTCGTTTTGGGGCAGAAATCATGATGTTTTTATAATTTTAATTTATTTCAAAGTTATTATAGTCTTTATAATTATAATTTTTTAATATTTCAATCCCAAAACGACGTCATTTTAAGAGTAAATACAGATAACTTATCTGCAGTAACTGCAGAAATATTGTTCTGTATAAAAAGTATATGCATATGGTACTGGATTACTAATTATTCTTAACCCTTAGGTAACGCTCAATTTCTTGGCAAATTCTTCATTGAAGCAAAATTTTGAAGTTATCTTCGTTGTCATATTTATAATTCCAACTAAAATAAATAAGACCTTACGTTTTCAACTTGGCTTGAAATACATACTACTCGATCCAGATTATGGGGGCATTTTTCCAATCTAGTTTTCTTAAGAATGACAAATTAAAAATAAAATAGTTGTAAATTTTTGTTTCACAAGTCAGTATTGACACATTAGGAAAATTTAAGGCCTATTTGGTTCAAGGAAATAATTTTTTTTATATTTATATTTTATTCAGTAATTATAAAAATATTATAGTATTTTCAATCTGTTTACAATTTTTTAAAAATTATATGGAAAATGATACCAATCTTTTACATGTTAGTTTCATCAATTTTTATATGAATCTTTAAAAACAAAAAACAAAATAAAAATAATGTGACATTTTTGTAATTATTAAAAATAAAAAATATTTTGTTGAAACAAATTTCCCCCAGAAAACCTCACGTTCCTTTCTTGTTAACTGGAGTATTATATTGGAGGACAATTGATAAACCTTTAGTTTATCTTGTTTAATGGACTAAAATAATATAAATTATCTAGTTGAACAAGTCAAAAATTAGGGTTTTAAAATGATAATCATGAACATTATCTGATTGTTGGAACTAATTAATATATTTGTTATTTTTAAAGGGATTTGATAACAAATGATTCAAATATGAAGATTTAGATAAAGAGAGATCAAATCAGAAAAGAAGATGAATCAAGGTGAAAACAATAAGATTGAAGATCTTATCAAGTTGTTAGAAGTGGGAGCTTAAGCCTCCATTCACAAGCTTAAGCGCCCAGACAAGTCCAACTTAGGCCCATTCAAGTTTTCTACTGCAATACGAACTCTTGACCTATTTAAACACCATTGGGGACCAGAAATACATAACTTTTATATTGCTAAACAACTCTTGGGTGCTCGGAGGCTGAAGGAACGCAGAGGAACATCAGATTCATGTTCGTGAGCGGCGGAGACTGATCAACGTCAAGTGTTCACTGGAGATATTGAAGATTCACCAATCACCTATGGAGTTTGGGGGAGCTTTTATAGTTTCTTTTGTTCTTGACTTTGCTATGTCTGGCTAGTTCCTTAAGTAGTTAGGGTTAGATGGATTTTAGTCGATTTATTATGTTTTGAACAATTCGCTGTGTTAATTTTTCTTTATATCATGAATGAAGTTATCTGTTTTTAATGCTTTATATAGGCTTGAATCTTATATAATGATCATCGGTGAATGCATGACAATGGGAATGTTGGTGTGTGATCCATATCTGATAACTTCATCGTAAACGTTATGATTCTAGGGATAGACATAGGGTTTGCGTAATCTTTAAGATTCTTGAATTTAATGCTTGCATGCTTGGGGAATAACCGGGGAACTAGGGTTCTTCCAATATTGTAAAGGTTTTAGAGTAACAAGGGATTGAGCTCTAAT